TTAGTACCTAATTGTGCTGCCAGGTACAAAAAAGTTGAAAAGTGCACTTTTTTAAATAGAGCACCCTGTATATAATGAAATATTATAAAAGGCAATAAGAATCCCTCAAAAATGATGTACTAATTATGTTCCTATACCTAAATAGTAATTAAGGTTTCGGAAATACAAGCAAGTTTCTGTTAAAATTGAATTATTTTGGGATATTTGTCTAATGGCGTTTCCAATTGGAAATTTAATTCGCACTTAGTGTATTTTCATCTCTTTCTTTCAGCCTGTTGAAGAAACAAATAGAAATACATTTTCGTTGCACTCAATCTACCAACCGGAAAAGCTGTTGAATAGCTATGAAATGTTACGATGAAATATGATTTGCCATCACCCGCCATCGTAAAAAATCACGTGGTTTGAATCGTGACATTTCATAGTTATTCAATAGCTTTTCCGGTTGGTAGAATGAGTGAAAAGAAAATGTATTTCTATCTGTTTCTCCAACAGGCTGAGAGAAAGAGATAGAAATGCACTCAGTGCGAATTAAATCTACCAATCGGAAACGCCATTAGACAAATATCCCAAAATAATCCAATTCTAACAGAAACTTGCTTGTATTTCCGAATCCTTACTATTTAGGTATAGGAACAGAATATACCTGATTTGTAAGGGATTTTCATATTGCCTTTTATAATATTTCATAATATACAGGGTGCTCTATCTAAAAAAGTGCAAGGCAGGGGAGAGGAAAAAACGAACAGAGCAGCTCAGGAGTAGAGGCAGGGACCATGACCGAAATAAAATATCGGCTCCATTCCAGTCTACAGCGTCATGACAAATATCGGTTCCGGTTCTAAGAGAAATATTTCGATTCGGTTCGGACCAATAATTTCAGTCTTAACGGTTCAGGCCGTTCGTTCCTTGGATGCGTTTACGTCCGAATTGCATTCGTCAGAAATCGGACGGAAAAGTGCGAATGATCCCATTTCAGTGAAACCCAATAACGGTCGTACATTGCACCCGAAATTATTCGTGCGAATTCGGACGAAAACATGCGATTGCGATTGATCCAACGAAAATTGGATTTTTCGCAGTAGTTCTGATGATTTGTGTGTGTTGACTGGGTTACTGAAAAGATAGAGAGATATGGATATTGGAAAATTGATTATTCTGATATGGGAAAAAACCTTGTGGGATATGACCGTCAAATCATATCACATGAGACATGCAGAGAAAATTCATCCTTCTTTAAATCATCATATAAATGATGAAATTCTCTGAATTATTTTCGTTTTGCCTAATATCATTAACCTAGCACTTTTTTCTTTTCAACAATGGCCGTCTAACAACATAAATATATTTTCCAAAAGATATAATCCTCCATATTACTCCACTACGTAAAGACTCTGTGCGAAGTCTGCAGTCTGCAGAAACTTGTCCAGTGAACGATATCAAGTATGCGAAATCTGACGAAATTATTCGTCCTATTTTTGACGGTTGAAATTCGGACGAAAACTCATCCAAAGGACGACAGGCCTCATACCCGTATAGTTTTTCACAAATTTTATCTAACAGAAAAATGTACAGCCAATTTTAAGCGATTGACCAGTCGGTCATCTTGACAGATAAGAAATCCATTTAACGTCAGTTCTCAGTTAAGACCAATTGGTTGGCAAATGACGCTTATGTCCGTTTCTACCAACTATTTTAAGAAAGCCTTAACGATAAGTGTTCCTTAAACTGACGTTTTCCCATGTAAAAATGTCATTTTAAGGAATACCTACTTATCGTTAAGGCTTCCCTGAAATGGTTAGTGGAAACGGCCATTAATTAATGATTTATCTGTTAAGATGACCGATCGCCGATCGGTAAATCATTTAAAATTGACTTTGTTGTTGTTGTTTCTGTCATTTGTTTGTTTGGATTTCTCTGGCTATCTGCAACAACTTCAATAATAATAGATATTAATTATAATGAAAATTTTTTGTGTTTCCGATCAGTTAATTACTAAAAATCTCAATCCCCCCACCAGGCTAAAGTACCAGAGATGACGTAGGCACCGTGTCGTTTCTCGCCTTGACGTAGGTAGGGTGCTTGCACCACAGATTATGATGGCGCCGATTTTTACTTTATGCATATTTGTTTCTAATACATTTAGGGTTTGTTTGTTTGTGTTGTTCGGGGCAGCACTTCCTGCTTGGTTTATTTGCCATAATCTTCTGAAATATACGGCTTAATTCAAGTTAGTGCGACACAAACTAAAAAACCTTTTGATATTCTAAGTATAAGTACCTATAAGCGGAGACCGCGAGATGACGCGTCCTATTATATATCTGCGCATGCGCGACGAATTATCGTATAATATAAATCCTAATTTTCTAATTAGTTGATATCTTCGGTATAATTGACCACCAAACGTAAGAGGTGGTAAATTCGTGACCACCAAACGATTTCCGTTTAATTCGACTATGGTAGGTCGTCGGCCAGCGTCATATGAAATTTTGTTGATTACTGCCAAAGTAATTATCACCAAATGATAAAAGTGAGATACCAAAGACCACACCAAACGATTGCATTTGGCGAATATAAAAAAAAAAAACTTTCGGTCGGCTAAATCGCTAAATACATGTTGCCTCTCGCCTCATGTCAACCGGCAAAAATTATTTATTGAGCGGTAAGCGATATTCCGCACCCGCAAGGCAATTTTCCGCTTCATGAGAACTAGGCTCAACTGTAGCCGTTGAACGACCTTTTAATGTATCAAGATTTTTTCTAAACTCCAAACTTGATGTCAAAAATTCGAAAATAAAGCAGCTCCCACCAACATCAACCAAAAACCAAAATAAAAAATATGTAATTTCAGGTTAGGGTTTAGGGTAGATTAGACATTTATGACATTTCATATTAGTGCCAACCAATGAACTATAACCAAAAACTGGAATGCTAACACATAAGGACGAACGTGAAGCATAGTGCGGCTGCTGCGGAGGGGATACCTGTTTTTGTCGCACTCATTATGTTAAATGGCGAAAATTGCTTCCTACACGTATTCCAATTGATGAAACCTGTGAAGGGAAATATGACAAAACTTTCGAAAACGTCATATGACAGCGAGCAACAGAAGAAAACAACATTCCCCTTTGTGGCATCTGTCTTTCATGGCTACATTTTTTTGGCAGACATGGCAATGTGTGCGCATTCCAGTTTTTAGCTATAGTTCATTGGTGCCAACCAATGAACTATAACCAAAAACTGGAATGCTAACACATAAGAACGAACTTGAAGCCTAGTGCGGCTGCTGCGGAGGGAATACCTGTTTTTGTCGCACTCATTATGTTAAATGGCGAAAATTGCTTCCAACACGTATTCCAATTAATGAAACCTGTGAAGGGAAATATGACAAAACTTTCGAAAACGTCATATGTCAGCGAGCAACAGAAAAAAACAACATTCCCCCTTGTGGCATCTGTCTTTCATAGCTTCATTTTTTTGGCAGATATGGCAATGTGTGCGCATTCCAGTTTTTAGCTATAGTTCATTGGTGCCAACACAGTAGCTAACTAAAGCCGCTTTCTAGCTGTGTGCTTCAAGCACGGTGCAGCACAGTGTTCTGTGTTTGAAACGCAAAAGTTAGCAGTTCTCAAAGCGCAGTACGGCGGGAACACGAATACGCGCTTGAAGCATTTGTGCGCGCAAAAGCTCGATTGCGTGCTCAAAAACGTCAGCTGGAAAGCGGCTTAAAATAGCACTTCTCAAATGAGCTTAGTGAGCAGATAGGCGCTTTTGCGCTAACTAGTCGTTTATCGGTCAATTAGGGGAAAGCGCTAACACCCGCGTAGTGATAAAAATGGCGGCACCGTTACCATAAAATCGGATGCGCAGTCGTCTGAGCGCATTCTATTTCTCCCGCAACATCTGCGGGTGAGTCCGAGCGACTCCGAGTCACTCCAACTTTTTGAGCGACGCGATCTTTTTAGTAGGTGCATTTGAGTCTCGGAGCCGCCGCCCTGAAGCGCTACTTGACTGGTTCGGTAATTCGGATTGTGTGCACTTGGGTTAAAAAAAAAGATCTTCTGGAAGTTACTCCGAACGAATAGCTCCGGCCGCAGCTTGTGACTCTAGAAGAGAACGCGGCTCTCGGTGTCATCCTTGTTAAGTTGAAAATTATAATATTGTGAAGGATCATTGAGTCGAGCTTATCTTGGTATACCTACCTACATTTATGAAGAGAGGGAGTAGACCCCAAATTATTTTGGCCTTCAACCCAGAGGTAGTTACTCCTCAGCACAAGTTTTCATTATTTCTCCTAAATTCCGGTTAGGGATTTTTCATTGGCCTTGAAGCGTCAATTTTAAATCTTAATGCTCATGTCAACACGGACGAAAAACGTTTGCTTTCAAAAAATTTCGTGAATTTGCTCCGAATTTGAGTGAAAACGCTAACATCTTCTTCTCGCGTGCCGAAGTGACACATCGGAACATTGCACTCGGGACAAAAAGTGCCCCTCTTTCCAAATGGCATCCCAAACTCGGTGGCTCTGGAGCGTTAAACGCGTATATTCCCTTCGAAAAGTGTTTGTTTCTTGCACCTTGAAGTGCTCAAGCCCGAACTAAACCATTTAAATGCACGAAAGCCACCGCATCTGTTCCTTTCAAATCGGGGTCGACTATCGGAGCGTGTAGCTGTAGTGTTCCAAACTCTGAAAGGAATACCACATGAGAAATCTAGCACTAGTGTCAGATGTCAGAGTGAACACAAATTTGATTTTGAACGAAAACTGGCTGCGCACCAACTTGCCTTCTTATTTTTGAACGTCCAGTGCGTTCACACACACCTGCACCCAAGAACGATAAACTACTTGTGGTTTATCTTTATGGACCTACATCTATGCAAACCCAGTACGATTTCCAATGGTTATTTCTCTCTGAACACGCCCCAACGTTGGAGACCGTCAACCCACAATCGTCAACCGACAAAAAATGACATGACATATGACATATGAAATTAGTGAGTAAAGGTTCTTGGTAAAGATTTTATATGTTGTTGTTTGCTTCCAATCCATTTGTTAGCGTTGTGTGATTTTTTCTCATCCTTGCACCTCTCAAATAAAAGAATTTAACTTAACTAGATAAAAGTAACCATCCGTAAATGGTCAATAATTAAAATTTCTGAAGTGTTGTCTATTAAGTGGCGTTTCTCTGGGTTGATTACTGCTTCATTTAACCAGGTAATGAAATTTTAATGGTAGGTCTATAAAAAAATATGATGTATTTAAAAAAAAAACATTTCTCTATTAATTCCTTGATTATTTTAACATAGCATCACAAACAATAATTAAACCAATTCTATTCTATACCAAGGATATACAATATCAACTAATAAAAATCTAAATTTAATTTTAATGTTTTAACCGGCCATTTGCAAAACAATGGGCTAACGATAAGAAGTAATGTATATACCGGTTTATAAAACCCATTCAGTATTTAATCATTTAACAGTTGTTAGTCAGTGTTATCTTTTTAAATAATGGGTAATCGAAAAGTGCCTGCAACTGTGTCTTCTTGATTTTCTTTTATTGTATTTTATTAGTTATTCATTACATTTTATTCTACAACTGCTGCTGGATTCTATTTTACGAGTCGAGTCGAAATTCATATCCATTTGTCAAAATAGCGATTCTATTATTCGATTTTTCGATATGTATTACACGGTATGTCCGGAGCTGTAGTATTTGATATGGAGTGTCATAACGGACAATTCGATTTACATTACAGTAGGTATGCCTCTGTGTGCCCATCATTATACTTATTATATTTAAATCTCGATTTAAATATACAGAACAATAATCTACATTGTAATATAGCTATCGCATTGAACAATCATCATAAATCATGAGTTAAACAAGCAATCTAATTCCCAGAAATATAACAACTCATGCATTCAATGACAATAATATAAAAGATAAAAAAAAACAAAACATGAGTTCTTATTAACAAATTTGAACAGATGTGGACTTATGAACTCTTGCTAAGCAAGCTGGTAGTTTTAGCACAGAAAGTATTATTCTTGTTAATTGCTATCCGGAAAGATCCCAAACTGTCAGGTTGGGTGGGGTGAGTTCTGCGGAAAGGGTTGTAAATATATATTGGTGTGCCTCAAGGGTCTGTCCTAGAGCCGAAACTATTCCTAATCTATATAAAGTATCTACCTTCCAACAATGATGAAGGTAAATACACCCTTTTTGCGAATGACACCACAGTCTCCATGTCAGCGGGATCAGTTGATCAGGCGGTCTTACAGCTTGAAGCCAAACAAGATAGGGTGAAGAATTGACTTAAGTAATGCAAATAAGCTCCTCATGAATAAACACAAAATCGAAAAATTGGTTTTCTTTGTGAAAGACTCCAAAGCTGTAAATAAGAGGAGGAAAGTTTGATTTCTTGGAGTATACATTGACCCCACTCTTAGATGGTACACCCAAATTGATCAGGTTTCATCAAAGCTTAGCAAGGCTCTGTTTGTTCTTAATTTCTCCCTCAGTGTCTCAGATAATGTGAAAACTTCTTACACTCTTATGACTTAAGGTAAATGCACTAGTAATTGACACAATTAGACTCTCTTATGGAATTTAAATGTATATTTGGGGACCCAGTAATTGACACCTATTATCCAATTATTGACACCCCAGTTATTGACTCTTTTTTTTTTCTCAGTACATGAGTATATAAAATGAGTAATAATAAGTCACAGCTGCTAGAACTTCATTCATCTGCTCTTTGGAGTAAGTTTTTTTGATTTCATATCAGTAATAAATGAAAATCCAGTAATTGACATCCTGTGTACCAATAATTGACACCCTGTGTACCAATAATTGACACCCATGTCAATACCTAACTATGGAACCAGTGATTTTTTCAAACTCATGTTGTCAGATATGTTGTGCTTATAATAAGATGTGATCGTTCTGTCAAATATTGCACTGTTTTTCTGTGATTGCGTTAAATTTGTTATGAGATCCATTCATTGACACATCGGTCAATAATTGTTACCTGGTCATAATCACTTGATCCGGTCTTTGCCACCCACGCCAATCTCAGATAATGTGTTTTACTAATAAATACACATTAAAAAACATTTCAATCATACTTGAACTCTGCCCTCAAACATATGGAATAAATTAAACATAGATACATTTAGCAGTAAAAAATAATATTTTATTTGTTTGCCTTAACAAATCTCTTAATTTTTCTGATCCGACAGGTAACCAGCCTTTTCACATTTTTAAAAGACTGGCAGCTATCATCTGATTTCTTTCATAGCTGGTAGAATGTCGCCTGTATTAATGGAGTTTTTTTTTATCGAGATGGCTCTGGGACGTCGAGTTAGCTTGTTTTGATAACATTTACCTTTATGTGTCAATTACTGGAGCACTGTCAATAACTGGTGCATTTACCTTATGGTATTTTGGTTTCGGGTTGCTCCCCCCTTGTGGCCAGACTCTTTGGTTTAAGAAGTTGTTAAGTCTTTTCTTCAAGCATTTTTCAAATAACTTACTGATGCTGGTAATAACGAGGGTAATTACACTTATGGGGCGGTAATTATTTATTTCCTGCCGAGATTCCTGCATATTGCCAAAATTATAAATGGGTGTGACAACCTTAATCTTGAAGTGGCTTGCTCGGTGGCTTCGGATTTGTAGAGTTTTAAAACATGCCTTCATTATAAAATGTTCATGAAGCTTTTTTAATACCTACTTTTTTTTGCTGATTTTTTTTTAACAAGTCTTTATTTCTGAACTTTACTTGCCCAAACATAAATAAGCCATTCAAATTATATAAGCTATACATAACTAAATATTTGAATAAATAAATTTCTGAAAAAAAAAGAAAACAAACATGTATTCACCTTATATAAGTATAAGAAAAAATAAACCAAACAGGTCCACAAACCATAAAATTGCGCATGATCTCTTCACATAATAAATCAAAAAAACTAAACAATAAGTGAATTGAATTTAGGTACCTAATTAATTAGTTCTATACATTTTCTGAAATTAAGAATAATTTAAACTTTTTTGCAAATGAAGCAGAGCTTGGTATCTTGAAATTTCCGTTGATAAGGAATTGTAGGAACCCAAAACACGACCTTGGAATACATATTTGGTTACAGTTTCCAGTTACATCATTATGCCGGTCGCAGTTTTTTGGATTTTATTTGATCATTTAGAATTTTTCCAGGAATTTTTACTATTAGTTCACATTCTTCCAGCTTGATTATCTGTTCTATTTTTGAGAATTTAAAATTTCTATACACACTCGTATGGTAAAGTCTTGGAAGGTTATAAGTAGAGACGCTTTATAACGTGATTTTGAAGTCTTTGTAGTTTTTGGATTATTGTGTTTGGAGCAGCTTCCCCGAGAGCTTCCCATAAGGTACTTATATATTGCACATGTGATTCAAATAGGGATTCATACACTGATAGTTTGCTAGGGTTTGGAAGAAAATTTGCAGATTTTCTCATTGCACTACAAGCACTGGACATGTAAACCTATGTCATTAGAGTGTATTGGTATTTACCTTCTATAATAATTATTCTTTGTTGTTAATATTATTTTTTTACTTGTTTCCATATTCATTATAATTCTGATATATTATTATCTGGGGTGGGGTTTTGCTTTAGTTTTCTTTAAATTATGTTTCTAGTTTCAATTGATTGAATTATTCCGTTCTTCATCCATGGTTTAATCTTTTTATATTTTACTTTGACTGCACAGCAATAACTGTTTTTATTTGATTTGGTTGAGCAGAAATTTGATTGGTACTAATTTGTTGAAAAATAGACTGATATTCTTTACTAGAACGCAGTCATTTGCATGTGCCGTTGGTTTTTCATTGAAAAATAGGACACACCTTTGTTTCTCTGTCATGCTCAATTAAACAGGATTTATTATACTGACTGTTTACAAACTCACAGTTCAAACTTTTCGCATTGTATCACTCATGTCTTCCCACAGAATCTGCAAGCTTGTTCTTTTGTACACGCACTTGTTCTATGACCAAATGTACCACATTTGTAGCATCGTCGGAGGTTTACATCTTCATAAATATAGCATGTTCGCCATCCTAATATCAAGCTTTCAATTTATAAGTTTTTCAAAGGTATTACCCTCGGTATTACCTAATGTTTCGCCAGAAATAGTGCATTTAATACCATTATTGAATATTGCATCATCTCAAACATTTTTTTATTTAAGGAATTTTATGTAACCAAATTTGCATTGGAAGTCAAAATAACTACACAATTTTTGTAAATCTATTATGTCTGGAACCAGTTCAGAAGACGATCAAAGCGAAGATGAAGAATTGAGGCGAAGTCCAATCACTCATTCTGCAGCAAAAGTACAAAAAATGGATTACCAAAGGTAAGTCTTTCTAATTACATACAATCTGCAAATGGTGCCGCCTTATTATTTAGTGAAGAAGATGACGGCGGGGACTCGCTCAATATCAAGCCTCCACAAGCCAGAACATCCGACCATAGAAGTAAGAGAAGAGACTTTGATAAGTTGCATCATAGACTTCCAGATAGGAGTGACAGGAAGCGGGACAGTAGGCATGGGCATAAGGATAAACATCGTAGGTGAGCTAAATTCAAAATAAATACAATTTCGAGACTTCTATCATCTAGTGAATGCTCATTTTAAGTGAGCCGTGTTGTGCCCAGATTTAAAGACTATGGTGCCTGGGGCGGAACTACGAACAATCGCTATCGATAATTTCTCGACAAGTTCTCACCTCGTTCACACATCGCTCAACGTTAGTCGCCAAAATTGCCACCGCAAACGTTCGCTTGCACCGCAAATGTTCGTTTGCACTGCAAATGTTCGTTTGTGGTGGCAATTTTGGACCCTAACGTTGAGCGATGGGTGAACGAGGTGAGAAATGAGGGGAAATTGTCGAGAACTTATCGATAGCGATTGTTTGTGGTTCCAGTGCTGGTTTCCATACGTTACAGTTCTTCAACCAAGTGTTAGACTTTTACCTGTAAATAATTTTATTTCCTTGGCGAAAAGTTCCTACATAAATTAAATAAAAGATTTTCAGTAAAACCTGGAATAAAACAATAGAGAGTGATTGGAAATCTTAGATACTACTATGTACTACTTAATGTGTATTATTCATGAATCACTTTATTTCAAGCAATCTGCAAAATTTTGCAATATATGTAATTTAACTTATGCAATATTTTTTCTCTTAAAAAACTCTGATTGTCCCAGCTTGTATTTAATTTAACATAACATAGGTATTTGTTTGTATGTACAGGGTCTTTCCCCATATATTGACCCCCCCCACTACAGGGGTTATGTGAAGAGATAAAAAAAATTTAAATACAAAAGTTTTGGGATTTTACCTGAAATTTTTTAATCCGACGTCAAAAGCTTTCTTGGTTTTTTTATAAATGTCAAATTTTGACATATGATCAGTTTTTTTTTTTTGTGAACACCCTATATATGACTTCATAGTTGAAAAAAGTCGATTTTTCTGTTTTCAAATATGTACGGTTTAACTACTTTTAATTGAGCCCTCGATTGAGCCGTTTTGGAAATATCGGGGTCTAAACTTCAAGAAAATTAGACATTGAAACACATCAGCTCTGTTCCAACCGACATGAGAACCGTTCTAGAACGGTAATTTCCAGTCGATTAATTCATTTGTCAATTAGGATAAACCGAGGGATAAACGTTCAACTTATTGAAAAACAGGTGGGCAACTGGAGAATCCATTTTTCTTTAAATTGACACCTACATTAAGTCTCTGTGATCACTTCAATTTTATCTCTTTTTACCCACTATATTTCTTATTCTACTTCTTGGTTTAGTCCTATGAGTTTATCAATTAACGGATTTGAACAACTTTCACTGAAAACTATTTGAATTACTTCGAACGTGTTTACGCCAGCAAAAATAGTTGGACGATGTCATAAGTTCTCATTCCAATGCATTTTTGAGCAACTTCAATTAAAAATTACATAATCTTATCCTTATCCTTCCAAGAAGAGTTACAGACAACAAAGATATCTAACTGTTTTTATTTTCGTGCATGAAAAACTTTAAACTATTCGAAAATCTTATACGTTTACTTAGTACACCTAGTTATGGATTAGCGGAAATATAAATTTGCTATAGTGAGACTGAGAAAAAATACGTTTTCTGTCTGCTGTAAACCTATGCTTCTCGGCCAAGAGCTCTAATCGCCTCGTGGCCCTGTTGTGGTGTGGAAACTCATGAAAATAAGAATATATCTATGCAATCTAACTCATGAATAATTTTATAAATTCAATCAATTACTAAGCAATCATTTTGAATTGAAAATCATGCATTTTATCTTTTTCTGATTTTTTCAGTCATTAATATATTGTTGGCAATAAAAAGTTTGCAAGATCCGTGAAAAGTCCCCTGTGAGATGGTGGAATTTTTTTTCCCATAATAGAGTTTTTGATACAAATTTCTTATCTTATTTGACTTGCATACCAATGATCCTTTCTTTTTAAGAGAAAAGTCTTCTAGATACCAAACCAAAGACAAGGAACATCACGAACATGAACGGGATCGCTATTATAGAGAAAAACAGCATTCCTATGAACAAATGGGATATACAGAGCAACAATATCTATATGAAAGGGCTTTTCGTGAAAGAAAATCTGAAGAAGCTAGAGCAAGACAGGAAAGAAAGTACAAAGGAGGCAGCTCTAAACATGGTAGAAGCCAAAATAGAGATTCTCGTAGTGACAGAAACAGAAAAGAAAGGCGAAGTGATGATACAAGAGCTAGCAAGGCGTTGGCTGATCTTAGGGAGAGGTACGTATTTGGAACTTCATGAAATACAGCAGAACCCCGATTATCCGAGTCGCAATTATCCGAGCTCTGGATTAACCGAGCCAGTCTAAAGATCCAAAAATCCTGATTATCCGAGGTACGCACGTCCATACTCCGTTTTACCAGAGTTTCTAGAATATACATACATACACAGGGTGTCCCAAAAAGATACCGACAAACTTTAAAGGGTAGTAAGGGACATCAAAACAAGCATTTTTGTTTATATAAACATATGTCCGCAAATGAGCAGTTTAGGCTGTAGAGCAAAAAAACTGTTTGGTACTTTTATTCTTCGCAATAATTAAATCACTGTTTACCTACTTATTAATTTTGCTTTATTAACAAATAAATTATGGTTTAAAATAAATTGTTCAAAATGATGCGATTTACTTCAATGTAAAGATTGCACCGCGCGTCGGGTCATTGACTCGCGAACCCTTTGGAATATTCTGGGAATAGCTTCTACGTGGGTACAACTCTCTAGTATTTTTATTAACAGATCTTCCTCATTACGAACAGGTGTTTCGTATACTAAACTTTTCAGTCAATGACCCGACGGTGCAATCTTTGCATTGAAGTAAATGGTCAACATTTTGCACAATTATTGTAAACCATAGTTTATTTGTTTATAAAGCAAAATTAATAAGTAAACAGTGATTTAATTATTGCGAAGAATAAAAGTACCAAACAGTTTTTTTGCTCTACAGCCCAAATGGCCCATTTGCGGACATATGTTTATATAAACAAAAATGCTTGTTTTGATGTCCCTTACTACCCCTTAAAGTTTGTCGGTATCTTTTTGGGACACCCTGTACATATAAGTACATTCGGATTATCCAAATTCTCAGTTATCCGAGGTGGGTACCCCCCCCCCCCCCCCACGTTACCTCGGATTACTGGGGTTCTACTGTAGTCACATTTATATATATTTTTTTGAATATATTTTTTTTTTTTTTTTAGATTAACTTCTGAATTGAGGTTTGTATTTTATTTAGCAAGAACGAAAATATATTTTTGTGACAATTGTTTTTGTATGCCGGGATAATTATTGGCACAAAAATTATTTTCATTACTTATAGGTTAATCGAAAAGCGTAAAAGCGAGGATGCTCATTCACATGATATGGGTCACACAAAGGAACGCGAATTTATAGAAGTTGATGATAATCTTGGAGATACAGTGAAAGGTAATTTGTTTAAAGCTTTTTAGAGGTTGCATTTTCTAAAGTGTATTATTCAGGGGAAGCTAGTAGTTATGTCAGAGAAATAACCTTGACCAGTGAAGCGAGGGATTATAGAAAAGAAAAAGACAAAGAATTCGAAAGGTATCTCACAGAAGAGGAAAAATTGGAACGGGAACAAAGGAGAGAAAAATTGTTGGAGGCTGGTAAGTTCTATATAGAGGCATTTTGCTGCCTTAGTAGCGCCAATGAGCTCCAACAAAACTTTTCTTTTAAACCACAGTACTTTCTTGTCTCAAATAGGTTCTCTTCTGTTTTCACTTCATAATTTTTTGTTTTGTTGTTGAGTATAGAAATCGAAAAAACCATATACCTACTTATTTTTGTTTTGTTATTGAGTATAGAAATCAAAAAAATCATATTATTTGTGGAAAAAATGATAATTTTTAAGCTGAATGTTACAAGTTGACTGGTAGAATATTCATATACATATATTAAGAGGAAAATATTATTTTCAGAACGAGAAATGGCCCGTTTGAAAGAGAGGACGAAAGCGGACCGTGAAAGAAGGCACATAGAGAGGGCCATAAAAAGAAAACAAGAAGCAGAAGAAGAAGATTCTCACAAAAGAATCTTGGTCTATGCAGCTCAACAGGTAATAATAATTCAGATAATATAATACATAGTAATATAATAATAAAGTTTATTTACCACCAACAGACTGAAGACTACAATCTCAATGCATAATAAACAATTTAGGCATAGAAGCAAAGTAAATTTTGCTTGTTAATACCGGATGTTTTCCATATTTTTATTTGAAAAATATTTGGTGGGTGTTTTCCAATTTTAATTGCAGATTATCTATAGTGTATCATCAAAATTACTGTGAATAGAAACTGATTGAAACGACAAAATAATGATAAATCCAAGTTCATATCAAAAATAAACACTACACAGCACAATTAGGGCATCAGTTTATATTTCCCATTTTTTCTCGCCCTTTTTTTAATCAATTTTTTTGGATGCAGTTTTTGAAAGATATTTTCAAGTAGCTTACACAGCGAAAAATAATTGTTGGTTGATGATAAGTTGAACTTTGAGCAGCACGTTGTGAATATCTCAGGAAAGGTTTCAAGAGATTATTGATGCTTTTGGGTGCATGCTCGGGTTGTTTGTTCTCTTCAGCTATTCTCCTGCAGAAGAGGGCACACATTAAGCTGCATGTACAGGGTGGGCAATTCTCATAACCCAGTTGCAGATGAAAATTGATGACCCATGTCTGTTTTTCATTTTCTTTAAAGCTAAAATTTGATAGTTTCAAGTCTTTATCATTTCTTTGTATCTTTTCACTCTTCATACTGTGTGAATTGTGAACTTTGTTTTTGTTAGCTGGCGAGCTATTATGCAAATAAGAAGACTCGAAAATGAGAGAAAGTTTAAGATAGAAGTAAAAATTCTGCTGACTTCTAAAGCATATTATTCTGTACATGAATTTCTAAACGACTGACTGCATAATTTATTTGCATGGATAAATATATTTATTTATTTATTTATTTATTTATTTATTTATTATTAGTAGTATAACAAAAAAATATACATAATAATATTATTATTTATTAATTTATCAACGAGCAATTATTGCCCAATTAAAAGACAAGTATAATAATATATACAGTACAATTAACAATAATCTTAACCTAACCTATCACCTAGAAAGATATTGAAACATAAGAAAACAATAAACAGTAACATATCAAAAAATATATAGCATTATTATATTAACATAGAACATGAGGTAAAAACTACAAAGTACTTAAATAAAATTAACTTTTTTTAAAATTTCTTCAAATATAATTATTTAGAGACATTAAAATATCACAGGGCACAGAACTTTAGCTGGGATTTAAAAACTTTTGATTATCAAAAAAGTCCAACCTGTCAGAATACTGATTAGCAAATCTAGCCCAAGGATTAAGCCTTGTTTGTCTAGAAGGGACATGGATATTGACTTTTGCCAGTAGCTCTTGACCAAAGCTATATGAGTGCAGTAGATTATAGAATATGGTAAGATCCCTGTGCATGCGTCTGATCTGGAGAGTAGTAATATTAAGGGAACTTTCAACCCATGAGTAATTGATATTTTCAACTTAATGGCGTTCCTTAAATGAAATAAATCTTAAGAATTTATGTTGGAGTCTCTCAATAGCCTGGATATAGACATTGTAGTGGCGGGACCATAGACAAGAACAGTCTAGATGAGGCCTCCCAAGAGAACAGAATAATATTTTGATGGATGCTATATTAAGAAAATCTTTAAGCTCACCTTTTACTAAAACCTAGGATTTGAAGTGATTTTGATACTGCCATTGATATATGGGGTATGTAAGATAAGTTGGAATCAAGGACTACACCTAGATCTTTAATTTGATATACAGATTCCAAAGGACAACCATTTATAGTGTAGACCTGTTCTGTGGGATTCCTGCTACAACTGAAGACCATCAGATGGCACTTTTTAACATTTAGTTTCATACCATTAATTTCAGACCAGTTGCTGAGACGATCTAAGTCGGCTTGCAGTTCTAGGCAATCAGTATTATTCTTGATTATTATATATAATTTTAAGTCATCTGCAAACATTAGGGAAAAGGACAAAAGAGGATGCAATATCATTCACATATAAATTATAAAGAAGAGGGCCCAGGTGTGAACCTTGGGGTACACCCGATGGTACTTTAATTCCTATTGATTGGAATCCCTGAATACGCACTATCTGTTTTCTTTCATATAGGTAAGAGACACCTAGAAGGACACCCTAAATTCCCAGACTCTGCAACTTATTAATTAAAAAAACCTTGGTTCAACAGCCAGTGTCAAACGGCTGTACAGAAAAAACACAGAGCATATAACCTTTGGAAACGACAACAAACCGCTCAAAACCACACAGAATTTTTAGAAGCCAGAAATAGTTGCAAAATTACTATTGACTCCGCTAAAGAAACATACAATCAAAGAATAAAAAACAGGTTGCTGAATTGTCCAAGTAGTTCTAGGTCTTTTTGGTCTCTTGCAAAAGCTGTTGGATCTAACTTCACCAAGTCATCCATACCACCACTTACAGATAAAAATAATCACTTAGCCACAACATCAGAGGAAAAAGCCAATATGCTGGCCCAAATGTTTTCCTCCAACTCCAACCTAACAGTGCCAAACGGAAAAACTCCACCGTTCATTGAAAGGGTTTCCCATAGTATGCCAGAGGTACCCTTTTGTCACAGAGAAATACGAAAATCCCTTAAAAAGCTAGATACAAACAAAGCAATGGGTCCGGATGGCATTCCCGCAATAGTACTCAAAAATTGCGCCAATGAACTCACCCCAACTTTCGCAAAATTATTCAATTTGTCTTACAGGCAAGGAGTATATCCATCATCATGGAAGTCTGCCGCAGTACAACTCATTCCAAAGAAAGGAAAAAAGACGGATCCGTTAAACTATAGACCAATTGCTCTACTTCCGGTGATATCAAAAGTAATGGAAAGAGTTGTGAACAATCACCTAACCAAGTACTTGGAAAAGTACAAAATTATCAACGATAAGCAATACGGATTTCGAAAATATAGGTCAACTGGCGATTTACTTACATATGTCACTCACTTATGGCAAAAAGCGATTGAGTTGCGGGGTGAAACAAGAACAATTGCCTTAGATATATCTAAAGCATTCGACAAAGTTTGGCATGAAAATCTGCTCAACAAGCTCAAAGCAATGGGATTATCGCCGAAACTTTGCACTTGGTTTGAAAGTTACCTAAAGGACAGATTCATTTATGTTGCACTGGATGGCCAGAACTCCAACTCTTACCAAATAAATGCTGGTGTGCCACAGGGAGCAATCCTTTCGCCAACTCTTTTTCTGATTTACATAAATGACCTTATAGATAAAACAGTAAATCCACTTTATTGCTTTGCAGATGATGGCAATGTAGTCTCCTCACTCATACCACCCACAGGTCTTTCCGCACGTGAATTCCATCATCTTAGACTAACTCAAATATCGCAGATAAATAACGACCTGGAGATAATAGAGGACTGGGGTAACAAAAACCTTGTACAGTTCAACGCGCAGAAAACCCAAGCAGCTCTGTTTTCAAAAAAGACCAGCACCGATGAGCCAAACATCATGCTATCTGGAAGTGCTGTCACATTACAGAGTCAGTTGAACATCTTGGGGGTTACTGCAGAGACCAACATGTCTTGGCACAGTCACGTGGCAGATATTGCTAAAGGGGCGTCCCAAAAGCTGGGGGTGCTATTTCGTACAAGACATCTGTACACACCAAGCCAATTGCTGACACTCTACAAAGCCCAGATTCGACCAACTATGGAGTACTGCTCACATATATGGAGTGCAGCACCCAAACATACCTTAATGCTTTTGAACACCGTGCAAAAACGAGCTATCAAGCTGATCAATGACCCCGCACTTACTCGTAACTTGGATGGTCTCGAACATCGCAGATCTGTGGGCGATTTATCTCTCTTCTACAGGTACTATCAGGGAAAATGCTCTGAAGAGTTGGCACATATGATTCCACCGAGAGTAGCGCCTACCAGGCGAACCCGTCAAACAGACGGTAACCATGAATTTACTGTCAAACTAGAGGCACCAAGAACCTCATTATATCAGAACTCATATCTCTGGAGAACAGCATCGCTGTGGAATAAACTCCCTGCGACGGTTTTTCCTGCAGGTTACAACCTGAACCGTTTCAAGACCAACATACACCGACATTTCCGCGCACTTGCCGCTTCTCGAGCGTGATAGGACATTTCCTTGCGAGTGCGCATATCCGTAAAAAAAAAAAAAAAAAAACTCTATGGTTAACCCGATCGAACGCCTTTGCAAAATCAGTGTACACAGCATGCACTTGAGAACCTCCTTCCAAGGATTCCGAAAGATAGTCAGTAAATGTTGAAAGATTAAGTTCTGTAGAGCGATGAGAAATGAATCCAAATTGTTGATCGATAAAACAGCCTTTTAAACTAGCAGACAAGTAGTCACAAACAAGACTCTCAAATACTTTAGGGATACAACTTAATATACTGATGGGCCGATAGTTTTTAACCTGGAACTATCTCCAGACTTCAATATGGGAGTAATAAAGCTTGTTTTCCAATAGGCTGGGAATGTCCCGGTCTTCAAAGAGAGGTTAAAGATATGGAAAAGAGGTCTAGAGAACAAGAAGCTACAGTGTTTGATAAGTGATGGTGGGAGGCCATCAGGTCCTGGTCCCTTGTTAATATCAAATTTGGATAGTTTTTCATAGATAGACGAGATACGTATGTTATATTCCGACAGATGGATGTGCCCAGAAGGCAGAATGTCCAGCAATACACAGTCTTTATCACTATAAGTTTAGGAAAAGTATTCAGCAAACAAATTGACAATCCCAACTCCAGAAGAACTAGTAACACCATCATAGCGCATTACAGAAGGTATATTATTTTTGGCTTTTCTGCTGGTAACAAATTTCCAGAAATTTTTAACATCATCTCTAAGAGACGATTCAGTTCAAGCAGCGTAACCTTGATAACATTCCTTTTTTAGGTGTTTACCGGTAATAAAGAAAACTCATTATAATCATCTAGTGAT